GTCGCCCGCATAGCCCCACAGCCCCCCGTAGCCCAGGGAGCCCCCATAGCCCCCAAGGACGGGTGCTCCAGACGATCCCACAACTGCATCCTGGGGGAAGGAGCTGAGGATGGGGCCAGGGAAGGTGGCAACAGCTGGGGGTGGCTGGATCACGACAGTGGAGTCGGGGCACTGGCGGACACAGGGCTCGTTGCAGCTCTCGGCGATGGGCTGAGGGCGGTAGATGCCGCAGGCAGAGGTGGAACACAGGTCGTAGCAAGACATCTCTCAGGGATGGAGGTCGGCTGCAACACACACTGATGAGGAAGCGAAAGACACAAATTCAATGTCAAAAAGAGTTTGAAAGTTGGGTGCATGGACTAGAATAATGGCTTTAGTTTTCAAGTCTCGATTGTCCTTCCTTGTCTCCAGTACCTGTCATGGGACATCTCTCCCTCTTTTAATGGTCGCTTCTGTGGTCTCATACCTGATTTCTTATCTTTGGTTGTTTTTAAGTAGTTCTTTGTTCTACCCCATTGCCAAACGCTGCAAAAAAATTATCCAACACTATACAAATTACTCCCACTATACTTTGCAGCCACTCTTAAAATGTCTACATCTGAAAGTTCATTTCATTTTTGTTTTATACTAGCAAAAACAAAGCAGTGTGACCTGACAACCAGCAAAGCTCCTGTGGTAAATTAATGGGTGGCTGGAGGAACAGCTCTGGCATATTGACTTGTAACGTGCTTCCAGAAGCAATAGCTAAAAACATACTGCCATGTAGAACCTGCTATAAACACGGATTAAATAAGGCATTCCCTGCTGTGAAATGCATGCAAAGTAGCTCAAGAGTCACAGAGTGGTGACAAAATGGTTTGATTTCCCAGAAGGGAAAATGCTACTCTTGAATAAATAGGGCTAGGTTTCTACTGCAGAGAAGTATGTTGGCACCTTGGCTCCTCAGAAAGATTTTCACCATATGATCTAATTGAATCTAAAAGAAAACCCATGGGAGGGATAGGAATACTGCCTGTGAACAATTGTTTTTCCTTCTAGAACCAATAAAACACCAGATCAGAAGAGACTTCTGGAGGTCACCTCGTCCAACTCCCTGCTCAAAGCAAGGAGAATGTAAAGGGTAGGCCAGGATTTCCTAGTTTCATCTGTTTTCCAGTATTTCTTTAGACAATACTTCTATATTCTCTCTGGTTAAGCTTGTCCCCTCAACAAATACATGCATATGCACAGACAAATACCAAAAACTTACATATAAAATCCTTTAAAAAAACCTAGTGAATGAACAAGCCTTCTGCTGATGATATGGAAGCTGCTTTCATAGTTCAAATTTGTATTAAGAGGAAACAATGATGTTTTTTAAAAACCTAATTTTATAATTTTAAACCTGAGTACACGGATGTCCAACATCAAATAAGAAAAAATAAATTCACGTCAAAACAATCCTACAACATCAAGAATCTTAAAATACTTAAGGATGGTTCCAACCTGAATTAAAACCAATAGAAAAGAGAGATAAAAATTTTAGGAAAGAGATCACGCAGAGGCTTTCTTACCCGTTTCAGAGAGGTCAATAAAGCGAGGAAGGTGGAATGAAGAGCCCCTGAGCTGGGGGAGCTTTTATACAGTTCCCTCGAGCATGGGCCTCACCTAAGGTGCAATTTGCGCATGTGCGTAATTGAGGCAAACCCAAAACTAATACGCCACGTAGGTCCTCAAAGTTTTGCTGACTGCTTATTTGTTAGTTTGAAGTCTCGTGAAACACGATAGGTGCATTTCATCACAGGAACCTCTTTCATCTCAGATGGTTACAGGTCGTATTCACTCCGGTTATCGTTCCATTCACGTCCTCGGCATTACGAGAAGAATTACACCAACGCTCTTCCTCAGCGTCTCCATTATTAATGGCAAAACCCAGCTGCCCAATGCATGGCTGTGGGCTCCTGATGTACACAGATTTTCCCATCAAATTCAGGCTCTAAAATACCTGAATATAAAAAAAAGGAGTTCCATTAGAGCAACTTTGGGGCTGTCATTTTTGTCTTTATCATTTGCACTCTCAGCTGCTTAACGTGAGACCAATACTGTGCCCAAATGAAGACAAAGAAAACATCCTGTGGTCCTCAGATGGTTTTCTGTTGTTTGGGTTTTGCTCTTGAACACAATGTTGGCCTCATCTAATGAAGGAAGGACTTGGGGGAATGTTTCTTGCTTTCTTTGTTGTGCATTCAGCTGTGGATTACTCTCCCCCTCCTTTTCTCAAACACTGGCATGTCTTTTGGACTATTTTAAGCAGAAAGCAGAGGTAGAACATCCTTCTAAACTACTCAGATTTATCTAACAGGTCTTTCTTGCTGTATCTTGACCCAGACTGAAGTCTAGAAGCCAGCTAATACCTTTCTGATCCCAGATTGCAGGGCACTTTCTTTGTGAAGTATTTCTCACCCACATTTTCCAGTTTCCTGCCTTTTGATACAAAGCCTCCAGGGATCCATTTTTAGGTCCATCTTCAGATCAGGCAACATTGAAGACTACCGGAAAATGAAATTAAACCAGTGGTGACTTGATACACCATCACAGAGACAGAGAAAACATTTGCGTGGGTAAAAGCTGATCATTGATAGAATTGTAACATCTCAAGAAAATAATTAAGTCCTCTGTTTCTGTGGCCTGATGTGCAACTGAAAATGATGAAGTTATATTGATCATACTCCTGTATTTTATTTAAAAGCTTACATTTAATTCTGTACTTCTCTACTGAAAAAACATGGAAGATGATGAGATCTCCAGTATTCAGCCCTCAACTGATTATACCAAGGACACAAATACCCTGACTTACGTATTTTGATGCGATGTCATTCCATAATTGCTAGGCATCTAGATCCAGGTACATGCCTTTAATCTAATTAGAAGAATGCGTTCTCAAACGCTTAGTGGATGGTTTGCAGCATTTGAAGAGACTTGCTTCCTGGTAGCTTGAAGATATTATTGTCCAAAATAAATCCTAACCACCTCAAAGGCTGAGAAACCCACCTCATAATTTAGAAATAATCTATGGCATAGAGTTTGCAGTATTAAAACAACACATCTGTAAACAAGGAAAGAAAAAGCCTTTGTTTGGCATTCCAAGTTCATAATTGTGCCCTGTTTGCAGAAACTGCCAGCTCAGCCCAGTTCTGGAGTTACAGCTCCCAGCAACACTAGTGTGTTACAGGAGGTCATGGATTCCTGAGAATCAAAATCAATAATTCCAACCACTTCTGTCACATTTCCATTTTTGCACCAGAGGAACCAAAACATTAGGTTTCTTCAGGCTTCTTGGATATTCTCAAGTACCATCTTTCTTCCAATGACATCAAACGAACAATACCTGGGAAAAGTTCTTTTGGGATCTCCAATTCCTTTGTAGTTTTAGTTAACCTCAGAAATTCATTCTTTATCTCTTTAAAAACAAAACCAAGCATCAGGAAGATAAAAGCTTCCTCTCCATCCCCTGTGTGAAATTCTGCAGACTTAGCCCTACACAGTTTTGTAAGAGAATACAACTGCTTGGGTGACTGATGGATGGAGAAACTGTTCAGCTCATATTTGTGTCAAAAGAGTTCTCGGCACTCCAAAACAAAGGATTTCAGCTGTTTTTCTGCTCTAGGTTAAGTTTCAGTTTCCATAGAAGCCCTGTTTGAAGACTGAAGCACATATTGTAGGTCCCTGGAGTTGCTGCTCCTCTTCTGAGATGAACTGTCCCCATTACAGCCAGTGTCAAACACTACTGGAAAAAATAATTGACTCCCAGAAGTACTGTGTGCCCCAATTGTAGGTGAGGAAGCTAAACATGCAGAAACCACCCCCAACCTTCCTGTCTATCACATCAACAGCCTTTAACTTCTGCCCTGGCAGACTGTAATGTGAATTATATGTACTTAAACAAAAATCCTGTCGTGACAGCAGTTTGTAGTTCTGATAAACCCATGAAACTTTCCAGTTGTTCAATGAATACAAGAGGAGCTGGCTTAGTAATTTCATGGAATTGGCTGGAATAATGCCTGAGTCGTCACAAGATGAAAGAATTCTCTATAATCTAAACTAATGTTTAGGTCCTTATTACAAACAAAAAGGACTCGTAAACTCCAATAACAAACACAGCAATTTCATCATCTTGACAGGTTACACGTGTTTAAAATTGGGGCGGGCAACCAGTGTTGATCTTGCACCTCCAACTGCTCTGATATAAAAGCTCTTCTCTCTCCTAGCTCTTCCAAACACTTCCCTTAACTCCTCAACGACTTGGGTAAGTCTGATTCTTCTCTGTTGCTATCAATGTATCTTTATATTGCTGATTTTAGCTTCAGTTGATGTGCACCGTCCATAGTGTTGAGTGCATCTGCATTGCCTTGGGACAGAGATTCTAACACTGGCTCTAGGGTGGCAGATAAACCTATTTGGTGCATGGGAACCTGTGGAGTTGTTAGTGTCAGAGACACTGGACCTTGGAGTGACTGGATGATGCTCTTAGGCATCTGGTTTACTTTTAGGTCTCCCTGTGAGGAGCAGGGAGCTGGACGCGATGGTCTTTATGGGTCTCTTCCAGCTCGAGATTTTCTATGATTCTATGAGTCTTACTCCAATGCATTTAACCTATTCCAAAGTTTGCATATGAAATTCAAACTTGTAGATGAGTGGAGAAGAGCAAAACCACCCTTGGAGAAAAGAGCTGTATTTAGAGGGGAGAATATAGGCCCAATACCTGGGTTTACCAAGGAATCTTGGTTTGTCCTGGGAATAATAATTTAAAATTTTTTTTCTGAAGGATATTAGGGACTAAACCACTATTTATACTGAAATTGTCTAGGCTCTATCCATACAGTGGCTGCACAGATGGGAACTGGGATAATAACGCTATGATCTGCCATTTTATTGTCTTGTCAAATGGCTTTCTGAGCAATCCGGGCAATAACAATCCTGTAATCTGTTGTTCAACTCTTAGCAAAATTGAGATGAGTGGGAAGAAGAAGCTACTGTAATTAAGTTACATATAAAGTACATCTCCTGTAAACCTGCTCAGCTCAAATCCAAGTTTTCCTAATGACTCATCAAATGATTTTGGATAAAGTCACTTTGCACTCTCTGCTTTTGCTTCTCAGTTTTCAAATTAATCTAAGAACCTAAGTTCTTTGCAGGATATTCATGAGGGACACCACTTACCAAGCTAGGCATATTTCCCACATGCATTTGTATGTGTTGACATCTTTCATAGACTTTTTGAAAATCTACTTTTTGACAAAAAAAGGACTATGATTGTGAAGAGGGAAATCGATTTATTTCCTCAAAATCCTGTACTTGACTCCTCATTTTAAAGTAAAAAGCTGAATTTTGAAGTCCTTGCCTTCTGCTTAGTCTAATCATCAGTGTGTGTTGCAGCCGACCTCCATCCCTGCGAGATGTCTTGCTACGACCTGTGCTCCACAGCCATTGGTGGCATCTACCGCCCTCAGCCCATCGCCGAGAGCTGCAACGAGCCCTGTGTCCGCCAGTGCCCTGACTCCACTGTCGTGATCCAGCCACCCCCAGCTGTTGCCACCTTCCCTGGCCCCATCCTCAGCTCCTTCCCCCAGGAGGCGGTTGTGGGATCGTCTGGAGCACCCGTCCTTGGGGGCTATGGGGGCTCCCTGGGCTACGGGGGTCTGTGGGGCTATGGGGGCTACGGCTCCCTGGGCTATGGGGGTCTGTATGGCCTTGGGGGGTATGGAGGTCTGTATGGCTGTGGTGGCTCTCTTGGTTACGGAGGCCTGTATGG